TAAAATATCAGGTAAAGATTACGTTTTTATTTATTCTCTGTACTAATTTTTGTTTCTTCTTCTACCTGAATGTTTATTATTTTATAACAGAATTGCATATATTTCTTATCAATAAACCATAAATTACAAAATTTTATTATTTCATCAGAAATTACTGTGATTTCTAACAAATTTTCAGCAATACTTTGCGGGTTTAAAACTAAACAAATCGAAGAACTAAATAAATACAAAACATGAAGCGAAAAAGGCGATCATAGAAAATAATTTTCTGTACTAAATTTTATTAAATTTAATTTTATGTTGCTAAATTTCAATTTAGTTTGTTTTGAAATTTTTCAAATTAATTATTTACATAAACAAAATTGCGTTATATGTACGAAAATCACTATACTTTTGTCAAATATATTTTATTGCAGTTGCTTTTTCCACTAATACTGCAGTATTATAAAACCATTTATTTTTTCCTGCGATGACCCAATATTGCTGCAGCTCACCATAAAAATGCAATTTTACCTTATTTTTTCGCAACCGTAAAAAAAACATGCAATTTTCGGTCACTCGAAATCTTCAACTGTAAAAAAAACATAAATAAACTACGAAAGTTAAAAAGTTTACGACAAGTCGAGAAAAAAATGTCAAAATTAAGCAATAAACTAAATACATGTACAATAAAAAAAAACATTTGCATTTTTACAATTTGATTATCGATTTTTCAGTATTACACAAACGTTGTGTAATAAAAAATAGCGCAACGAAAAAAAAAAAAGATGCAAATTTTTTGTGACTGAACTGTAAAAAAATGTTATTTGCAGCAATAAACTATTTGAATGACTGCCGCTTTTTTCTTCCTAGTAAAAGTTAAAAGCTTCTGCTCGAATATTGCATGGCAATAGGTCATATTACACAATAAAAAGAAGCTACAGACTACGCAAAAAAATTGCATGTTTTTTTCGCAAAACTTAAATAGGTAAGAACCGTTTTTTTAAAAAGAAGAAAAAGCAGGTATGAAATGTTGATTTTTACTTGCGTCAACAAAGAATGCTCATAAAAAAGTGAATTGCACGTTTGACTTTACATAATATCTGTTTTTTAAATTTTAAAGTTGGATTTTAAACAAGTCAGCTGTAAAAGGCGGACTTTTAGTTTAGGTTTGAACCATCACATAATACTTGAATTCTTTTTATAAACGCGGCAATACGTATCATTCGTAAATAAAGTGTCGTAAATAAGCATGTTTTCCTTATTTCTACCTTATAATTGCAGATGTAGATTTATTTCCTGATGTAGATTTTTTTAATGCAAAAATTTAACACTTTTTTTTATATATAATTATTATGATCAACTTTGATTCCCATTACAAATTTATTACAATTATTATAAACACAAGCAAATTTGTAACAGATAAATAAATTTATTATTCACAATCTAAATATTCACAAAAATATTATCTTCACTAACTTTACTTTTCTTCACAAATTTCTGTTAAATAATAGGTATGAGTATCTAAATTGTTGATAATTTAGTGATTATTTTAATAAGAATATGATTAATTTGTGGGTTTTATTATTATTTTTTTAGTATGAAGTTAATTTGAGTATTTAGTATTTGCTTGCTTATCAAGAAAAATGGGTATTTCGCATAACGAGCGTAAGAAAAATGACTCGTTTAACGAGCGACGTTTTGCATAATGAGTAACGATGAGAAGAGAAGTCCCGGATTGTGCGCTTGTTACATCATATTATGTGTATTTTCGAATATGTTTCACTATACGAGTAAAAATCCGAAAATTTTGGAACTGATTAAACTCGTTAAGCGAGGTTCTACTGTACTTGTTTTAGTTCTTTGTAATTTTACTTTTACATTATATTAATGATTTTGAAATAAATAATTATTATTACATAAATTATTAAAAACACAGAAATGTACTATGTTTTTAATAATTTATGTAAGTAAGTAAGAAAATAATGTGACAAAATAAATCGGTTTGGTATAAATATTATCTTTATATTGTATGAAATTGATGCGATTCACAAATGCAATAGAATGGACGTAACGCCGCGTTTCGTTCCAATCGTAATGAAGTGTGCGTAAATATTGATATTCATAGATAGGAAAATATTTAGTTCGTATCACAGACTTGGGCAGATATAGAAATCGAATGCTCGCCCCCCTTGTAATCGGTCGGATTCATTTATTTGTGCGCTAATAGGTCGGATCTGACAAATAGGTTGTATAGTAGATTTACGAGCATTAGCATTGTGTTGAGCTGCGATATTAAATGGGGCAATAACGGGGAAACCACAAAGCAAACAATTAAAGTTGAATGCGTGGGTGGAAAAGCTAATTGAATGCGTCTGACCAGCGGTCAGATAAACTTGACAATAAAGACAGATGTACGGATTTTCGGGCTTACGCACACATTTCATTCCATTCGATTAAAGCCAAATTAATCTTCCTCCCTCCTTTTGCACCAATCTGATTTTGTAATGTTTCGTTATGCATAGAAATTCTCGATAAGTTGACCATTTAGCTAGCATCTAAACACAAACTGAACACCCTATAACGAATCAATTAGGTGCACACTGTCTGTCCGACCGAAATGTTACCCCAAACTGACCAAAGATGTGGTTTTGTCGGAGCTTTGTTGTGCCCGACGGGAAGAACTAGATTCATTATTCGTTACACTAAATGGTAAAGAGAGGTTAACTAACTTAAAAACGTCCGTCATGTATTTATTGCTTGTATAAATCCGATCACTTACCGAGAATCTCTAACCCTGACACTATTCCCTCATCTTCTTTTTTTTTGCTTCTTCTCTGCTGGTAAAAATCGCCATCACAAGGGATTGCCGTGTCTGGCGAATAACCGCTTTTGGCGTGGATTTTTATTAACCGCCCTTGACACAAAAAAAACTGCACAGTTTATTTTTTAAATTTTGTTTTTTAGCAAAAAAGTTCAAATAAAACGATAAAAAGTTTGTTAAAAAACAGACATTATTGTGTTGGTTTTTCGGATCGAAGGGCTTAGTTTATTTCGGTTTTACGGCTTGGCGGCTCTTCCACTTTGAAATCTTCACAGGAAACGATTATGGCACTATTTAATGTCATTTTTTAACAATTTACTTTTAAAAAGAGGCACACCAAAAAGAACTGTCCGTTTTTTATATGACTTCGTCCATAATCGGTTTATGGAAAAAAAAACTATATTTTTCTGTCGTAAAAACATAAACATTATTCCCAAAATTAAAGAAATACGCTAAAACATGAAATTCCATTTTAAATTGTTCTATTGCTAAATATTGTTGTTTGTTTACTTGTTATTACTTTCAAAGAATAAGAAAGACTTACATAGTTTGTATTCATTGTATTTATTTAACGAATAATTGTTAACATTACAAATTGAAAAACATTTTTATTTGGAGATAATAAAGATTTACTCAAGTGCTGTAAAAGTTAATCCCAGTTTAGTACATTCTGAGGTGCACACTTTATATTTAGTAAATTTTTTGATGTAGTATTTTTTAATAAATAATGATATTTTCCATAATTAATAAATAATTTACGGAATAAACATAGATTTATATAAGAATATAATAGTTTCAAATAAAACAGATCTAACTTTATTATTTTGGTTCATTTTAAACTTAAAAATGAATTTTTAATTGTAAAAAAACTATTGCATACGAGCTTCAAATAAAATATTTATTGGCCTGAAATAAATTTAAAATAAATATCTAATGCAATTTTATAACAGAAAAAGAGATTTAGTTCAGATTAGTTCATAATCAACACGGTTCATTGCCCGTACAAGAATTGTGGATTCTAAGGAACAGAAATATCTTACGTAAATCCAACAATTCATGTTATTTTTCTTACTTTTTTTTGGGAGAGGTTTCATATTTTTTGGGGACTTCATAAACACAGAATTGCAACATTTTTTACGGCTGCCCTTATTTTTTTTTTGTGCAACATCATAAACATCAAAAGGTGCGACGTTTTGCTCATAGGAAAAAGTGCGGTCATTTTTTACGTATTTTTTTTTTATTGGGCCTCTATAGCTTATGCAAGACTATGCAAAATTGTATCGGCAACAGAAAAAAAAGGAACAAAAAATTACGAAAATTTTGAAGGTACACGTAAGTTTTACAGCTCAGCTGTTTAACTTTCTAAGTTACTGGTGGTAGTTTTGTTCGGATTCGAACATTTTCCATTTGAAAACGTTTAATTTATTAATATTATAATTTTATCATAAATTACTTTATAGTTAGTAGATGTTATTCATAAAATAAGTATGATTACATTTACTTAATTTTCTTTATTAAAAACTTGACGGATAGAAAACTAATGGTCAGTAGTCATTTTGTAATGATTATTAAAGAATTATTAATAAATATTTATGTACTTTTATTATATATATCTTTTTGTTGATTATGACAGTTGCAATAAATATTATTATATAAAATGTTATTTTTGAAAATTCACACCTGTATTGATCAAAATATGTATATAAAATATTTTTCTTATATATTTCATATATATGAGGTGTTGAAGATTCTTTCTGTACATATTTTTCAATTATTTTATGGATTTTTTGAATAAATAAACATAAAAATCATTATTTATGAGAGTGTAACCGCAAATTTTATTTGCAATGTTTGGATTTATACAAAAGAAATATTTGTATTAATAGATGTCACAAAATAACAAAAAGTACAATATTTAGTTATAAAAAAATCAGTTCTGTTCATAGTCATTAAGATTATATTTTAATCTAATTGAAATGTAATTCATTCAAAAATTGAATAATACTAAAACTCTTCTATATATATAAATATGTGTATTTATGGTTTTAATTGTTTTTTTTTTAAATGTTGTTTAAATTCAGGAATAAAAGTAAATAAGTTAGTTAGTTACATAAAAATAAAATATATTTTATAAAATATCTATATACATTTGTACAACTTTAAAGCTAAATAAATAAATATCATTTTTTCTCTTTTTTTAAAACAGTGACTAATAAGTACTCAAACCAGACATAAATAATCATATTATTTACATAAATTGTAAGGTTGGAAGAGTTTTGGCATTTTTCTTTCGACTTTATGAACGAGTTTCGTTGATGGCACTAAGAGACTTTCGGAATAAGGACTGATAGTTGAAGATTCAGAGTGCGACGGCGATTCCACTTTGTAGGGGATGTCCAGGTTGATTTGAAAAGCTTGAGGAAGGTGCTGCAGATGTGTCAGATGTGAAGATGAGTTTAACGTTGAAAGTGGCAACGGCAGAGGCATCTGGTGATGTGCGAACGTCGGTGTCATATGATGATAAGGATGGTAGAACGGCGTATACGGAGGTAACACGCTCGGCATCGGCATCGTGTTGTGTACTCTCGATTGCAGGAAGGGCTCGTTGCAGACCAACGGTGCGTACGGCCACGGATAGACGACCCTGGTGCGTTTATCCTTCATCCTTCTGTTTTGAAACCAAACCTTTAAATAAAGAGAAAGAGAAATTAGTTTTGGTTTGCCTTCGCGATTTTTAGCGAGTCGTTAAATCCCGTTTATTGCAAGAAGCGCGGTGCGTTTGAAGAACGCGCCTTAAAAGCTTTTTTCATTGACGTGTTAACTGGATAAGACGCTAAGGAGTACAACAATTACCTTAATTTTGCTTTCGTGAAGTCCCAGCATATCCGCAAGTTCCTTGCGCTTCTGCCGTGTTACGTAGTTGTCTCTATTGTATTCCTTCTCCAAGTTTGCTAGTTGATCTGGCGAGTATTGGGTGCGGTATCGTCTTGGAGGTTCGGTGATGGTGCCTTGGCTGTTGTTGCTTTCCGGTGAGGAAGTGTTATATTCTGAAGTAAACAAACAGTATTCTGTTAAGTAATTGTTTCCTGTCTAGTCTAGACTGATATAAGTGCATATCGAACATGTGTTGTGCGTTACAGTCTTAAGTGGTTTCTTGATACATACCTAAATACGATTGACCCTCAGGAGTCAGCGGTGGACTCAATTGCAGACCTTGCAAATGAGCGATGGCGATCGGCTTGATTTCGTTGCAACTTGGTAAATCCATTTTCTTGTTTATTGAGCACTGTGTTTATTAAAACGGGAACAATTAACAATTCACAATTTTTGTAATCCAATAGAGTTTCTTGCAGTTGTTGATGTTGTTGCTGAGCTGGCTTGGAACACACTGTTCTCAACGCTTCAGGAGTAGAGATGAGATTGATGCTCATCCCACCAGAGACGAGCCTATTTATACCCTGATCTCTCCCTCCCCAACTCCTAACAATTGTACTTTATGCTATTCATGACTGAACCATAAACCGATTTTTTTTTCACTTAACACTACCTGCAAGTACCTTTAGAGTATTAACTTAATATTATTGACTTTCATAAACTTTACTATCATATATATTGAAATCACAGTTCTTTATTTACTATATTAAAATAATTTACTATATTAAAATAAAATTGCTATTGCATTATTTTCTATTACAAATCAAAAATTAAATCCAATTATATTGGCGACGCAATTGTTTTTAGAATATTAACACTTAACTGCACGCACATTTTGCTCATACACACACTACCTTTAATCCTAAGCAAACTTTTATCATGCTTCATTTTTTTTTACTTAATTTTTAAATATTTTTATCTAATATTTACTTTAGATATACAAACGTATCTTTTCCTATATAGATTTATTCCTAACACTTATTTCATTGAATATTTCATTTTAATTATAATTAAAGACAATCAAATTTCGAAAAAGCTTTTTTTTTAATATAAATATTGCTTAAATTATATTTCATAAAATTGATTTGTTCAAAAAAAAAAATATCAAGGGAGAATAAAAAAAAGTAATCAAACAATGTAATGAAATATAAATGTTATATTTCAATAATATAAATCGACAAGAGTCATCTCAAATTAAAGCATAAACAAACATTTCATGTAATATATCTCTTTGTTGGAATCAGAGATTATATATATAAACTTCTATCATATTGATTTGCTAAATTCTTACAATTTTATGTGTTTTTGACCTCTTCCGAGACTTCGAGTGTGTCCGACTCCTGTAAAAGTTAAATGCCGGATAAGACTGATTTTCATCTGAAATCATTCTATCGTTTGAAGATTTTATTGATAAATCAATTGGATACTCGTTCTCCTTGTTACTTTCGTCCTCCACCGAAAAATCAAAGCAGACGTGGTTCATTTCAGTTATCAACATGTTTAATAAATGCTTGAAACGATTTTCCGTAATATCCGGAAATTTTCCTAACAACTTATCCCACATATCTGTGAAATAAATTCATAGTGTTTTCATTAGACGCAGAAGTAGTATTATTATATAATTCACCTTTCTTAATTTGGAGACCTGAAACGAATATTTTTCTTAATAAACGATTAAATTTATTACAATTCACATACTTTCATCCTTGTATTTGCTTGTTGAATTTTGGTATATTTTGCAGCAGCATAATTCGACATCTTCGCTGGAATCGGTCTCATTCCCTTCGAAGTCATTCTCAAGTCTTCCGATGCTTTTTCGTGTAGACGCATCTAAAATATGTTGTCTGATAGTAATATGAAATTATATGAATATGAATGATCTCACTTAATTTCGTTGATTCATTGGTCATAATGAGCCCGTTAACGTAAGTTTTATAAAAATGTATTAAAGATTGCAGTTGAAGAACGACATCGTTGTTGCTACTTTGCAATTGATCTAGAAGAATATCACGATTCTTTTCCGCATTTAAATTAGGTTTTTTTGTTTCGATTTCTTGCTTTAATTTAGTAACTGTTTGTAATAAGGTGCGTTTTTTAGTTTTGCGTTTCTTTAAATCGATTGTTGTAATCAATTCTAAGTTTGAAGATATGCCATCATTACAGAGTTTAATGGTTGAATTTTCATTACTATCAGACATGTCTTTTCGTTTCTTAACGGATTGATAATTGCATTGTGGGTGATTGTTAACGGGTAATATATTGATGGAATTGGAAAAGGGGTCTTTTTTAAACTCAATTGGACGCTTATAATTTTGAATACTTTGTGCTGGTGTAAATCTATTATAATTAGACATTATATTTCTCGTGTTGTAATTGGACATTTGCGCGATGTGATAAGATACGGGACAAGGAATGGGTGACATTATCGGATAATTGGGATATGTGAACGGTAACATTGGAATTGAGGGAGTGTATGATGTGTGCGTGAAGTAAGGAAAATGGTGTACCGGATTTAGATTTGAATTCATTATTACTTTCATAAAGTCGTTCTGTGCCTGAGTTATGTAAGGATCGATATTTGGTATCATTACTATCAAATTAGCAGTGTTTGATTAATTTTTATTATGAAACCAAATAGAAATAATGGCTAGAATTAATAATTGGGCAACACTCTTCTGTCTGCACGCGCGTATAGTGGGGATAGACTTTACGCGATTGGCTCACGTATAAGAACCGTGCTCATTGGATCGTTATATAACAAAGCTTTAATGTCGGCGACGTAAGGACCTTTTTCGATTGCTTACCAATCAGATACGACATTAACAACGCAACGCACTTATTTCTGACTCTTGATCGACTGTAAAAATTTCTACGATTCTTGAATTCAATTTTAATATACACGAACTACAAAAAAAAACAGCATTCAGATTTTTTCGCGATTCGCTTTTAGTTTAGTTTCAGTTTTTGCTTCCGTCAGGTTTCGGTCCATTTTTTTTCCCGTTCTTCATCTTCTTCTTTTCAGCTTTTCAGCGACAATGGTGACTTTAATGTCGTCACAGTATAAAATGTTGGCTGTAAATACGGCCACCACTAAAAGAGGCAACAATACAATTCGGCAACTTGCAGACAATTTCTTGCAACTAGATTCCGACCGGGCCGTTTGTGTTCCGCTTCTGCTGCACCAAATTCGATTATAGCGTACAAAACATTCAGGAACCCGACATTCTGCTACCATTTCGATCTCTTTATTTTTATGCTGGTTACATCTTCATTTTTTTTTCTGGTAACTTCTGAAAATGGGACCAAAAAAAAATGAAGAAGTTTCAATCGTATTGTCAGCTATTAGTGGTTACCAACAATAATTAGAAACATATAAAACCACACGTATTAACCGATTATTATTTTGTAAATAAAAGTTATAAAAGTAAATATTATATACAATTATAATATGGGTCTATAGCCCAACGTTTGAAATCCCGACTGTATCAAAATCCCGACTTTCAAAATCGCACTTTATCAAAGTCTCGACAACCATAATCCCGACAAACATAATCCCGACTATATCAAAATTCCAACTGTATCAAAATCCCGACTATATCGAATATTTTTACAATAACATTTCAAAATTATTTCGGTGCGTAGTCACCTTGGCTACATTTTTATTTTGAATAACAATAAATTATTATTAATTTATTTGATTTTGTTGTTATTCATAATAAACCTTAACAATATGAAATAATCTCAAATACAATTAGATTATTAATTGTTATTCTTTATTATTAATTACAATTTAAAAGTGACTACACTCCGGAATAACTTAAAAAAGTTATTGAAGACATTTTCGATATAGTCGGGATTTTGATACAGTTGGGATTTTAATATTGTCGGGATTATGGTTGTTGGGATTTCGACACAGTCGGGATTTTAATATAGTCAGAATTATGGTTGTCGGGATTTCGAACGTTGAGATTTCGATACAGTCGGGATTTCAAACGTCGGGATTTCGAATGTCGGGAATTTGATTGACGGTATTTCAGTTGTTGAGCTTGCGATTGCCACCGTTATAATATATAATGTTCTGTAAATTACATTTTACATTGCAAATAAAGTAAAAGTTAAATCAATTATTTATTATATTTATATGCAATTTTTGTTGTAAGAAAAAAATAATTGTTGAATTTATATTATGAATACATATCTTTAAATAATGACATAAATTCAGTTTAAAATCAAAATATATCTAGATTTAGCCAATAAACAGTAATAAACATTTTCTATTTCTAAAAAAATAGAAATTGTTAGAAGAATATAATTGATAATTTTAATAGTTAGTCTGTCCTGTACCTGTCACATTCTATTGATTTTAATCTGTTACTTTTATCAATTTTATCAAACCAATTTAATTTATTTATTTTCACTTGTTGCATTATTTTGTATGAGCCTTTTGTGATTGTGATAAAGGCTAATGACCTAAGCCTAATTGTCCGAGGATGAAAACATAAGAATATTGCTAAATAACTCTGTAGTACATGTATATATTATTTTCTAATAATGTTTGACTATACGAGTATAAATTCGGAAATTATGGAACGAATTTAACTCGTTATGCGAGATTCCACTGTATATGGAACATAGTGTAATTGAATTAAAAAAAAACAACTGACATTAGTTGATAATTTGAACTATATTTTAGTACAAACTAAAACGTGAGTAGGCGTAAGGCTGTTATTTGAGAATTTCCTTTGGTATTTGACTTTTAATAATTGTTACGGTAAATTCTACGTATATTTTATAAGTGAAAAATAAAAACATAAAATATCATTCACCCGTTAGAAATATCCCCATTACCCGTTACTTTGCTAAAAAAAAATACAATAAAAATGAATCCTTGCTTTTTACCCTTTTACCGTTTTCTCAAGCCTTTTTCCAAACGATAACAGTAAAATTGCAAAGAAATCTACGAAGTGCGGGCGGCATCATTGCTAAAAGTGAAATTGTTGTATAATAAAAAAAAACATGCCAAAATGTTCAGTTATACCCCTTTTTACGAGTATACCCTTTCGCAGTCAAGGTTGAACTATTAGCAAAAAGAGTTACGCCTATTTCTTAGACTGAAAGCGGCAAAAATGTTTTTAAAGAATGCCTGCGTTTTGCAGAAGAGTTGCATAAGTTTATGTAACTAGAGTGACTTTAACAAGTTTACAAGTTCATTCAACAATGGCTTTACGACTATTGACGCAAATTTGGGTCTGGGTTGCAGACAGATCTGTTGCGCACTTTTGCAGTACCGATTAGAAGACACTCCTTCCTTCCTTATTCCTTATTCCTCACTTCTCGCAACTCGTTTACGGCTGATGTGTTAATGCATTTTCGATGTTTGCTAAACGCTAATAATGAAAATTGTTAAGATGCTAAAACAATCAGCGAGCAGTGTTTTTAATTAGCACTGATCACACGGTAAATATCCTTTGTTATCTCCAGTGCGAGACGCGTAATAAACTTATATTTAGAAACAGAGAAATGCTTTGTTGAGAGAAGACGAGCCATTGAAATTATCTATATACTTAATAAATTGCTTTCTAACGAATCTATGAGAAATACTAAAACATGTTTTAACCATTTTATGAGCACCCTTTCGTAACTAAACTTAACAATTTATGATTTTTTCCACTCTTTCAAACGTGTCTTTCATTGAATTATGCAGGCAATACTTTCAATAAAACGTCTCTATAATAATTTCTAAATATGTTGCAAAAAAAAAAACGAGAAAATATTTACAAAATACAAATTTTTGTCCAAAAATATTTATATATAACTGCTGCAACTGTAAATAAAATAAGTATTAATTTTAATAAGAAAATTATCAAAAAAATGAAAGTTATAAAGGATAATTTCAACGTTTATAATCAATATTGGATTCATTGGATTCTTTCTGATTTCTTGTTTTTGTTAATAATATCTCAGAAATGCAATAAAATATTTATTATTTTTTATTCTATTCTTTACATAAATAAATACAAAATAAAAATAAATTTGTATTATTGAGTGATTAAACATTTTAAAGTCAAATGTCAATCTGTGACATATGCATATTTTCTTGTACATATGTGTATTTTTAGTTTTTACAGTGTCCGTGCTCGATGGAAGACGAGTTAGGAGGATTTCAAAACGCGAGGAGGAGGCATTGGAGAAGGCGCATAGGAATGCGATTTGTTGCGCCAAAAAGATGAGATGTTGCATGCCACCAAAACCGCCACCAATTGAAATCCGTGCGATTTTAGCGCGATGTCCGAATCTCGGAAACGACAAGACAAGCGTGATCACGAGAACTATGAACAAGCCGTTGATTGCAGCGAACGAACACAGCCTGAGACATTTTCAAGGATTCGACGAGGACGAACCGCTGATTCAATCCAGGGTGACCAAGTGTCGTCGGAAAATACTGATGACCTTAAAGATGCATCACAAGGGCGCAGTGAATTCAAAGAACCAATACATCGTCGTCGATCATGTTTACGATCCGGTCACCGAAAAGAGCGTTCGACTGTTAAATCCATACGTGATCAAGTTGAAGCAGCAGCCTGTTAATAAAGCGTTCTACTTGAAATTTATTGATTACGTGAATTCCGAAGCGAAGGAGCAAATTTACAATAAGCAAGATGCAAATTATACTGGATGCTATACGGATAAACTGCATGCAACATGCGGAATTGTCAAGTACGAGGGAAAAGTGATACCTTATAGTGAAGGCTTTTGCTGCTCCTGTGATCTGCAGAAGAATTTAGAGAGACAACCGGCAAGTGTTAGCAATAAAAATGAACCAATTGTTAGTTATAGCGATCCAGCTTATTTACTGGATAGAGTGCAGTGTCCACGAACCTTTTACAAGGACAAAGATTACGATCCAGAAATGAGCGAAAAGCCAGAACATAATAAACGAAGCCACGAAACAACGTCGATGAGTCAGATTCTGCAATTTCCTTCTGTAACAACTGGTATTCCACAATTTCTTACCAACTCTACACCATCCACGACTACGAAGCGCTGGCAGTACACGACTTACAGTAGAAGAGCATTGGATCAAACAACCACAGAGAATTCACACAAGTATCTGTTGGAGCCATTGAAAATGAAACGTAACGATTGGGAGAGTTTGTCAGTGGATAAAAGTTTACCAAGACTTGAAAATACTCAACCCGTTCAATATCTTAAGCATCTTCAGATTGCTGATCGCAAGAAGCATCCCAGTGAATACATTTTGGACGTGAAAAAAGCTCACGTGCCGCAGCCAATGCCTACTCTACAAGAAGAGAGCCAAGGTGAAAGATTACTGAGAAAGATTCGTCAAACATATCCAAGCGGCGTTCAAAAGCGCGGAGGCCAGAACTGTGCTAATCGTTACACTCCGCCAGGTTTAGATCCAGAACATTACCACGAGAGTACCCATTGCTTGCGATTTTCAGATGTTTGGTATGGTATTTACAAGCTTGGACGGCCGTACATCGAGCAAACGGTGGAGTTAAATATTTACGAAAGATTTGAAACTGAATCAAATCCTGACAAGTGGCGAGAAATAACCAATTCCACTGTTCATTTGGGCGATAAAAATCCCTTATACGAAGACGAGATACCAACTATATCAATAACGTTGATGACCAAATCGCTTTCGGATAAAGGTTCTTACGATAATCTGCATACGAAAAGGATCCTAATACCCGAAGGGGTGTCCTCTTGCGATGCACACAAATATCCCGAAATGAGGAACGGGGCTGATGAATATCTTGTCGTTAAACCGGATGATATTGATATTGAAGGTGATCAGTGCGATAAAATAGGTGTCGGTTTCGAAGCATTCTACAAGC